GAGTCGGCGGCAACAGAAGCAAACCGGTAGTGAAGACGCGCAGTTGTGAAGATAAAAGCACCAGTCGGCGGCGGCATAACCAGTCGGCGACGGAAGACGATGATGTCCATCAGTAGTGGTAGTGGTATAAACCAGACGTAGAGGCGAGGGCACTAGTCAACAGCAGACGAGATGACCGGCGGTGAAGAAGATAAGGCCAATCAACACTGGCAGAATCATGCAGCCATGGAAGTGAATAAACTAGTCGGCAGCAGACGTAGACAGCTTGCGTTTGAATATGATGACGCCTATTAGTGGTGACGGCGACGTAGCCGGCCGTGAAGAAGATAGCATCAGTTGGTGTCATAACAGGCCAGCCGTGCAGGCGGAAACACCAGTCGGCGGCGGACGAGGGCAAGCCGGTCGGTGAAGACATAGACGCCCAACAACGGCGGCATAATAGGCCAGCCGTGCAGGCGGAGACACCAGTCGACGACGGCGAAGGCAAGTCGGTCGGTGAAGACGTAGACGCCCAACAACGGTGGCATAATAGGCCAGCCGTGCAGGCGGAGACACCAGTCGACGACGGCGAAGGCAAGCCGGTCGGTGAAGACGTAGACGCCCAACAACGGCGGCATAATAGGCCAGTCGTGCAGGCGGAAACACCAGTCGGCGGCGGACGAGGCGGCCGATCGGTGAAGACGTAGACGCCCAACAACGGCGACATAAAGGCCAGCCGTGCAGGCGGAAACACCAGTCGGCGGCGGACAAGGCGGCCGGTCGGTGAAGACGTAGATGCCCAACAACGGCGGCATAAAGGCCAGCCGTGCAGGCGGAAACACCAGTCGGCGGCGGACAAGGCGGCCGGTCGGTGAAGACGTAGACGCCCAACAACGGCGGCATAAAGGCCAGCCGTGCAGGCGGAGACACCAGTCGGCGGCGACGAAGGCAAGCCGGTCGGTGAAGACGTAGACGCCCAACAACGGTGGTGTGACCAACCAACCGTATAGGCGAAGACTCCAGTCGGCGGCGACGACGGCGAGCCGGTGGTGATGTTCTGACTGATCCATTCCTGGAGCGTAAGAGATAAGCTTAAAGCCATGAATCCCTTTTATGCATATTTGGATTTGGATCCTGCAGAACAAACATATAGGATGAGTAGTATCTGATGTAAATACAATACTCGAGAAAAATGCAAGTATTTTAAAATATTTATAAATATGTATTTCTCCTCTTGTCAATTTTGATTTCCCCGAGCAGATGATTCATTACGTTTAAACGCTCTGTCCGACTAGTCATAGCCCCCAAGCACCGGGAGTCGGCCTAGGCACTTCCCAGACATGCATATGAGTGACATGAGTTCGCCATTAATGGAACAAAGTTTCACGAATCAGAATTTACTACTCGGGTACTTTTGCAATTATTAAGAGCAGAAAATAAATTTATCTCATCTCTATGCTTTTGATTTATTCCGAATAATACTTAGCACCTTGCGTTACTCGGTCCATCCAACGAGCCCCCGGGTGCTAGGAATCGGCCTAAAGGCAACTATCCATTGGCAAACCAAACGGAAAGCATAGGAAGATGGAACTCCATAACTCGATAGGCACTTTTGTACTCAGAACATGTCGCAAGCAATCAAGATAAATATTATGAAAATTGTTTAAAAAATACGATATAACATCTATAGCCCCCGACTCACTAGTCAACGGCGAACCAGTTGATGTAGTGAGGCAAAGGAAAAGACAAAATATCATATAAAGAATAAAATAAGCGATGACTTAGCTTTGTCGTATTCCCTCGGTGACAGCAGAAGTAGCCGATGTGGGAACGAAACAATCCATCAATGGTGACAAAAACACCAGTCGGCGCCAGTGGAACCAAGCTAGTGGTGTAGATGATGAAGCCCATTAACGGCGGCGAAGTCCGCCAACCGTATAGGCGAAAACACCAGTCGGCGGCGGAAGCAAGCCGGTCGGTGAAAGCGAAGACACCCATCAACGATGGTGTGACCAACCAACCGTATAGGCGAGGACGCCAGTCGACGGCGGCGGAGGCAGGCCGGCGGTGAGGTCGTAGACGCCCAACAGCGGCGGCATAATAGGCCAGCCGTGTAGGCGGAGGCACCACTCGGCGGCGACGGAGGCAGGCCGGCGGTGAAGTCGTAGACGCCCAACAGCGGCGGCATAATAGGCCAGCCGTGTAGGCGGAGGCACCAGTCGGCGGCGACGGAGGCAGGCCGGCAGTGAAGTCGTAGACGCCCAACAGCGGCGGCATAATAGGCCAGCCGTGTAGGCGGAGGCACCAGTCGGCGGCGACGGAGGCAGGCCGGCGGTGAAGTCGTAGACGCCCAACAGCGGCGGCATAATAGGCCAGCCGTGTAGGCGGAGGCACCAGTCGGCGGCGACGGAGGCAGGCCGGCGGTGAAGTCGTAGACGCCCAACAGCGGCGGCATAATACGCCAGCCGTGTAGGCGGAGGCACCACTCGGCGGCGACGGAGGCAGGCCGGCGGTGAAGTCGTAGACGCCCAACAGCGGCGGCATAATAGGCCAGCCGTGTAGGCGGAGGCACCACTCGGCGGCGGCATAATAGGCCAGCCGTGTAGACGGAGGCAGGCCGGCGGTGAAGACGATATCGCCATCAGCAACGGCAGCGGCGCACACCAACCGTGGAGGCGATGAAACCAATCGGCAGCGATGAAGGCGCCCGGAGGTACATGCATAAAAAATAACAGATCAAATAATAATTAGTGATCTGTGCATTAATCTAATTTATGTAAAAAAAATTTGAAACGATAAACTTGATAGTGGTTTGTGATCCAAGAAGCTCTTCAATGCATGTACGTCATCTTAGTATATGACTGATCAGCCTCCTGATGGTAAATGTGCATCGATGATTTTTTGGTCATGACCTGAAACAGGACAAGAACCGTGTACGATATATGATGACGTATGCTGTCCGGGACATGTGTTGTTGGCTTGCTGTGCCTGACTCGACGTCTTGGCAGATAGAGGTCAAGGGCATGGCTCCTCTGTTTGCTTGAGGGCTGATGGCTTAGAGTCTTGCTGACTAAAGAAAAGATTCGGCGGCGGCGGAGTAGGCTCACGGCGACACGGCCAGTTGGCTGCACAGCGACACCACGAATCCACTTTTTGGTGATAGGAGATTAAACCATTGAAGTCGCCGAGATTGATCTTCGCGACTGGATTGAATCAGAGAAGGGAAAAACGAGCTTGGCGAGTTCAACCACATCGGAGATTGGTTCCATCGCACTTGTCGATAGGAAACTCGACGCACCCCTACCTGGCGCGCCAACTGTCGAAACTAGATTTCGGCAATAATAAAAGGGGTAGCGTACGAGACCTAAAGTGGATGGATGCAGAGACAAAGGATTTAGACAGGTTCAGGCCCTCTCAATAAGAGGTAATACCCTACTCCTGTTTGGGGATTTGAATCCGCCGGGTGTAGTATAGATCTGACGATCAGGTTGTCTCCTGCCCCCTAGAGGGCCTCCTGCCCACCTTATATAGGATGGGGGGCAGGATTACAAGATAGAAACCTTAACCAACACGGTATCGGTTTCCTAAATCTACTTTACAATATTATCAAACCAGGACTTTAGGCTGTTCCGTAATATATAAGGAAACGTAATACCCGAGTCATGATCTATTACATATTCCATAGATATAAGTTATCCCCTATAACTAGTCGGATAACCATGCCGTGTGGGTATGGGATACCCATAATCTCCACAGTAAAATAAAGTCAGATGCATCGAATAGATGCACCTAATAGGTGTAACCCCCGACTATGTGGTTAGCTGAACAAACCAAACATATAGTCAAGGAATAAGTTATCCAATTAACCGAGTGGTTTTTGATAATTATAGTCAACCAAGTGACTTGATACCAATATATAGCATATGCGGTGTGAATCCCCGAATAATATGATCCAAGTGATATACCGACTGCTTGGCAAAATATGATGCGTACAACCTAAAGTTGACAACATCTTTGAAAGTTCACATAGCAAAACAACTATAAAGAAGCTTGAATGCTGTGAATAAAGAAATTTCCAAAGTATTGGGCATACGCCATGCGCACACTGCTTTAACAGATGTGCTTAAGTCCCTAAAAGACACATGGTTTCACCACACCTGGAAATATATGGCATATGTGGTGTAAAATCCGAGTAAGTAAACTCATAAAGGATTTACACACCGCCTGAAAAATGACCATAATATATAATCAGCCTAAGCCATAATATTGGTCAATAAAAATGCACACTTACGTGGCAAAAAGCAATGATATTATATCCAATCAATTGCTTGATAAACCCAAACAGCACCTTGACTATATAAAAAAGTCAGCGGGGCAGCTATATAAAGCTTTACTGTTTGACACCTTTTAAGATGCATTGTACCAACTCCTAAAAAGTCGAGTAACTGCGGTATAAAAGGATTTTAAGGAATTGAGCACTTGATCACGCGCACTTTGGCCTAAGAAAAAAGTGCCTAAGTCCCTAAAAGAACGTGACAGGCCACACCTGAAAATATGGGCTGCAGACATATTAGGCCTAGGCCAAAAAATATGCCTTCGACACCCTTTAAAGGATGACGCATGTAACATGCTCCCGAGTAATAAATCTTCTGGGTAATATAGATCAATCGTAGCTCATATGAATAGCTTCTGATCTGAGTGATTATCCCTTATGGGATACTCCAAAATAGATATAAAAATTGAATCCTGACTGGCGCAAGTATTCGGTTGATAACCCTTACGGGGAATAATAAATAGTCCAGTCTTCGAGCATAGAAAATAGACCCATGATCATGAATTCATGTTGCATGTATCCGGAACAAGTCCAAATTGAAGGTATGATACTTGTATTTGATCTAGTAAGCCTCTAAGCATATAGCTTGTCCTGTATCATGGCAAGTATCAAGCGACCGTATCATCCATGGATTCCACCACCAAGACGCACGACGTGACGACAACGGAGCCTTCACCGGCGGGCCGACATGATCAGCGAGCTCAACGACGACGTGCTGCTTCACATCCTCTGCTTCCTGCCGTCAGCTACCGACGTGGCGCGGGCCGCCGTGCTGTCGCAGCGGTGGCGCCGCCTCTGGGCGCTCGCCCCGGAGCTCCACTTCGCCGTCGGGCCGGGCTCCTTCGCAGATGAGCAAGGCAAGGACCGGGAGAAGTTCGCCGTCTCTCGTCGTGACGCTGCCCGGCGGCTCATCGCCGGCGTGGACGCCACACTCGCGCGGCGCGCCGCCTCCGGCGAGGGCGACGACGACGTCGATGCCTTGGCGATCTCCTTGGTGTACAGCTCCAACGTGAACCGTCGTTTGTTCAAACGGAAGGACGTCGGGGAGAGAGGTACTACTTCCACGACCACCACCATGAGGCCGACGTCACGCCGCTGCGCTTCGGCGGGTGGCTCCGCTTCGCCGAGCGCCACGTGAAGGGGAGCTTCGCCCTCGAGCTGCCGCTGGTGGCGCCCGTGGCGGCGGCGGTGGCGGTGGCGGCGGCGAGGAGAGCGGCGTGGGAGAAGGCCAACATCACCTCGATGACGGACGAAGGGGTGGTGATCTTCGTCGAGCATGTCGCGCCGTCGGCGAACGCTGAGGAAGAAGAAGAGGCGGCACCGGAGGTCGTCGAGCTACCTCGGTCGACGAGAGCGGAGGTGATGAGCCTTAACCTCGGATACGCCACCGTCAGCGTCCCGGCCACCGGCGCCTTCCGCGCGCTCACCGACTTCACGCTCCATCACGCGGTGCTCGACGCCGGCGGCGGCGACGACGACGACCTCCGCCTCGGCCACCTGCTCTCGTCCTCCTGCTGCCCGCGGCTGCGAAGGCTACGGCTCCAGCAAATCGGTGGCCTCGCCGCGCTCCGCCTCGACGCGGCCGACACGCTCGAGGAGCTCCGGCTGGTGAACCTCCCCGACCTGCGGCGGCTGGACGTGGACGCCGCCGGCCTCCGGCAGCTCCGGCTCTCCGGCTGCTCCGGCTCTGCGGAGATGGAGGCGATGGCGATCTCGACGCCCAGGCTGGAGGACCTCGCGTGCGACGGCATGGTGCACCCTGACCGCCTGCGGTTCGCCGGCGCGGCGACCGTCCGGCGTATCAAGAAGCTCTTCCTCTTCACGCACGGCTCCGGCAACGACGGCGACGACGCCAACGCCGCCGCCTTGTGGCTTCTCAACAACTGCGTCGCGCTGGATCATCTCGACGTGGCCTTATTTTTCGCCATGGTAATCTATATCTATATCTATATCTATACCTAATAATAAAAAAATACGTAAGGTTTTCAGATTTTTTTTCGTCCGTCATCCATTAACGTCTAAAATCGGTTTCAATCGGCTCCATAGTCGAGTCGGACCCTTTTCTATCTACTTCAAAACCGCAACTGATATATAATATGTATTAACTGATGTAACCATTGAACATAACTAGCAGCTTGCCAACTTGGTTAGTGGAGAAAAACTTCGAACCTGGGTTCAATTCCCACCACCCTCACCTAATACACTGTCTATGGGCCATTTAACAATTTAACACTAATTATTACTTAGAATAAGTCTACTTTGCAAGACCACTTTCTTCAACAGATATTTTGTGATTCAAAAATCTTATAATGAACCAATTTTTAATTTAAAAAGTAAACATATCTTTTTTCGTCATATGCAAAACACGACATATTAGAGTCCGCACCGAGCCGTTAAACGATCCGTCTCCACGCGACTCGGTGTTCGATTTTAGAAATTAATATATCAGACGCTTGCCATGCAAGAGTTGAAAGAGCATGTGTTATGACAATATGAGTATATCAGTATGCAATGGTGTTTCTTATCGGTCCTGATTATCATTAACCGAATGAACAATTTATCTATCTTGGTACATCATTACATGTTAACTGTGTATTTGTAGCATTTAACCTTTTATTATACCCGTAGCGAAGCACGGGCATTTTGCTAGTTAAACCTAATATTGTGATTGATTCCTTCAACATAATGTCACGCCCGGAATTTCTATCCAAAATTCCAAACGCTTACATGTGTGTGAACCCTCGTCCAGGAATCAGCCGAGGCACACAATAACAAATTGATAATAGAGTACAATTATTACTCTAATTAATAAGCGAATAAAATATCATTACAGAGGTAGATACTTCCTCTCAATCAATAAAGATCTAAGCAGCGGAAAAATAAGATAAACGGCGTAGACGACTCCACTCCACAGGCAGCTTGACCAGGGCTACACCTAATCCTCCACACCATCAGCATCACTGTAGAACTCCTCCTCTGATGAATGATTGCAAGGTGAGTATATGACATACTCAGCAAGCCACGCAGCAAATATGCAAGTGCACAGGATAACAAAGGATGGCATAGTAGGGTTTCATTTGCATAAACAGCATTTAATAAACATTTCAGAATTTAATAAAATAGTTAAGTAGTAATTTAAACAATATTAATCCAACGCTATACAACATACCCTGTTGCATAGGCCCAACCATTCTGTACAACCAATCCTGGCTGCACAGTTCTATCTCCAAACCAGGAATATACCATTCCAAACCAGGAGCTAATCAAATTATTACCAGTTATAGCATCTTTTATTATGGTGAGAAGTGTGAGACTAATCACGAAAGACATTGTTAGACCCGCCCATAACCGTGGGCACGGCTATTCGAATAGTTTTACTCTGGCCAGAGGTGTACCACTATACCCACAAGATACAGCCCCACAACATGTCACCATGTGCCTCAATACCACCACGGTACCTCGGAAAGGAGCTGTGACAGTACCCCTCGCACAACACAATCCACCACAGCGCACCTTTCCTGGATCATAATCACCCCCTTATAAACAAGGCATGGACTCCCCAGTGACCCCCGTGGGCTTATCTCCGCCACTTCTCAGTCTGGTGCTCCGTAATGAACCATGCTATACAAAAGGTAAAGCCGTTGCCCACGCTGGCTTGTGGTTGGCACGGTTAATGTTTCACAACCGAAACTCGTGAACCGGTCCTTAATTGTCATGAGCACGACTCTCAAAACCATGTGCTCACAACCCACCATTATCAAGTTTTAGTTGGCAAGTAATTAATTAACCAATCACGATTGACCATCGTGAACTATCATTAAGCCATCATTAAATAATAGTGAGTCATAAGTTATCCCAATAGTGTGCTAATGTTTCTAAGCATGGCTAAGCAATCATATCTAATATCTAGCTGAACCAATATATAAAGCTCAACTAGTCAAGTTATAATAACCCAAGGTATCAAGGAATAAAGTAATCAATGCAAACAGGCCATAACAAAGGAATAGATTCACACCACCCAGTGACATTCGAAAATAAATGCACAGTTGAAATAAATAGAGAATTTAAATATAGGATCAACATGCTCAAAGGATTGTGTTTAGGATCTATGTGACTTGCCTTGCTGGCCTTGGAACTCCTCAAATTCTTCTCCTGCGAAAACGGACTCTCCGGAAACGTCGGAATCTAAACAGAAAAGAGCAAAAACACCAAAACAGAACATAAACAAGCATGAACAGTACAAGCGGATATTTTTAACATGTAGATCTCAATTTTAGAAAAATTTAGAGACTTGAACCAACTAAATCCGAGCTAAGATGAATTAGTTATGAATTTTTAGAGATTAAATCAGATTAAAACACTTATATGGGTTTTAATTAAATTATGACGCGATAATGAATTATTTTTGAAAAGGAAAAAGGGGTTTATTGTGTCAGCGGCTAAGGTTTGCGGTGGACCGGGTGCACGGCGGTGGCTCACGGAAACGAACAGGGTTAAGCGTGCTTGGCCTGGAGCAATTTGGGATGGGTGACCGACCGGGAAATTCTTCCCAGGTGCATACGAGTGAGGACAAAGTGTGCAGAAAAGACATGTGTTGGTCTGTGATGGCAGTCTATGACCTATGAAAGCTATCAGATGTAAGTGGGCCCGGCCTGTTGGAGGCGGGACGTTACACATAACATTATTACTTTTTTTAGCATTGCTATACGTACTAAAATTTTCTTACAAAACTCTTACTAACAAATTTCTCAACCATTTGATTTAACTAGATGGAAGTTACAAAAAATCTAGATTTACCTGTAGCTTGCCATATCAGAGTTTGTAAGCATTTTGTAGGAAAATTGTAAGAGACACAGTAACACGGACACTCACCATATATATATAAATGCATGCTACAAAATAAATACCATGTAAAAACATTAATTTCAAATGAAACATATTTTGTATTAGCAATATTTTGCACACTAAACATAAAGTTGTTGCTCAAGACATACAAGCTAGGTTTGATTTTTTTTTTTTTAGAAATGCTAGTCCTTACAAAATTGATTCAATGCCTGATAGTAGCATGCCGGAATTTTAATCAACCCTGTCACCCACAGAATCAAATTAAAATCAATTATCCCATTCTGAAAAAAAAAATGTGATCATCATTCATATAATTTTGTTTCAATTGTGTATTTTCCTCTAGACACTAACTATATATTTATTAATCTTTAAAAAATACAGTTGAACATGGCAGACACCATGTTAGATGTACCTCATCTTCCTACTGTCACGACCTTGAAGATTAAAGCGAGGGCATGGATGGGTGGGCATTCCATAAGTCCAACCCTAGCCAGATTTCTTTCAAAGTGTGAAAGAATCGAACAACTCTCCATTCACATCCAGGATGGGGTAAGCATAATTCCTTCTTACCAACTTCTTTAATCTATGCAGTTTAACACGCTAAAAATAAAATGCAGTACTTAATTTACCACAAAATAAATATAGACATATAGTTTCATGTTCCTAACCAACTTAAAAGACTGAAATTATTTTTTTGCGTAATTTGCAGTGCTTAGTGTGCTCAGATCCTCTCTGTCTATGTGGCCAACCGGAGGATTGGGAGGACCAGATGATCCCATTAGAGCATCTGAAGAACATCGAGATCCGTGGGTTTGCGCCCTTTAAAGATGACCGAAAACGGCTCGTGCGACTACTGTTAAAACAGACTCGGACTCGGACCCTGACGGTCTGACCGCCCACATACCTGCGGTCAGACCAGCCCTACTAGCTGGTCAGACCGCCCACACACCTATGGTCTGACCGGCCCTGTGAAGGAAACCCGTCACTTTCTAAACTTTAACAATTTTCCCCGATTTCATCCATAAGTGTCAAATTTGGGTGTAAACACATGCCCCCCTGCCTTTTTGGTGAACATACGTGAACCTAAAAGCATAGAACATGTTATCTCAGGACGATAATCCAATTACCGGTCATAAGACTTCCTAAGCATCTTGCCAAATGCTCGGGAAGTATTTCTTCAAGTATTTCCCATTAATTGCTCTTTGAAAACACCGTCTTGAAGTGTCTTCATCTCTTCAAAGTCTTCAAATGCTTGTCGATGACGTCTTCAATATTGCTTCCCATCAAGGTCTTGTAATCTTCAAACGATAAATCCTCTTGCTTGAAATACCGAAGAGAGCCAAGATTTACCTCAACTGGCAAAACGACAATTTCAACAATGTTTTATTACTCGACTCGGCTTATCCATTAGCCTGAGCGTAGTAAAGAGAAGAATTCAACAACTTAATATCATAAGATTCGGCAATACTTCTCACTTCCTTCGACATAAAAGAAGCTCCTTTAACGTTCAAGGAATACCGAATCTATGAACAATATGCTTCGAAATAAAGTCAATTACCTCCGTACAAGTAATATTCTCGAGCGACACGGCTTCTGCCCACTTAGTGAAGTAATCCATTGCAACTAGCACAAACCAATACCCTTTTGATGAAGGATAAATTTGACCAATGAAATCCAAAGCCCAACCTCGGAACGGCTATGATTTGATAATAGGAGTCAATACAGCGGTAGGGGCTAATTGAACATTAACGATCCGTTGACAAACTTCATACCCTCTATAATACTTAAAACTATCACCAATCACTTTCGGCCAATAGTTTCCAACTCTCCTAAGCAATCAATTCATCTTATGGGCCGATTGATGAATTCCACAAATCCCTTCATGCACTATTCTCCTAGCAACTTTAGATTGATCATTATCTAAGTAATACTCCATCTATTTTTCGACGATATAATATTTGAACGCTTGCCGCCGAATCTTCCGATCAACCTTAAGTGTAGGATCTTTCAAATATCTAATCAAAGGAATTCTCCAAGCTATTTCTAACTCATGGGCACAAATGTCCGAATTCACAATCAAATCGGCCTTTTAATCAATTGTAACGTGCCCCCCAGCCTCCTGTCTGGGATCAGTCAGACTGACCACGCAATGCCGGTCAGACCGCCCTATCTGCCCGATCAGACCGGTAATGCAAAGTCGGTCAGACCACAGGCTACCACCGGTCAGACTGGCCATGCAATGCCGGTCAGACCGCCCCTGATCTGTGATTCTGCCAATTTCATCCAAAGACTTAAAAATCAAGCACCGGCTTTTCTAGTATCAAAAATACTCCTTTCTTCATATTATAACCAGA